CATTATCATTTTGTCTTCTTTTACTGTTTATTATTATTACTTCCTCAATATTAAATAATGTTTTTCTTATATTACTGAGAAGGGTAACTATAATAGCAAACATATATTGTAAATGATTAAATACTATGCAAATTTTGGTCATTAATATTTTCATGGCTCTGTCAACAGGGTTTCTTCCTCTATTGATAGTAAGGTAGTAATGTATTGAAATGTTCCAAGATAAAGCTAGTGTGTAATATTCCTCCTCCCCCAAAAAATCATTTGCACAGACCCAGTGGCCAAAATTGTGGACTATTCTTTTGATTAATTATTCTATTTTAAAAGTCTGAACTAATTTCCATAATAAGACATAGGAAAGATCTCTAGCAATATCTCTTCAAGTAATAAAAACCTATTATTATAATTTCCTTTTTAATTAAATAGGCAGTGGAACAGTGTCTTAGTTCAGGCTGCTAAAGCAAAGTATCATAGACTGGGTGGCTTATCAATGGAAATGCATTTCTCCCAGTTCTGGAGGCTGAAAGTCTGAGTTCAGGGTGCCAGCATAGTTGAGTGCTGGTGAGGAGAGCCCTCCTGTGTGTTGCAGACTGCTGACTTCTCATTGCATCCCTCACAAGGCAGGAAAAGAGCAAGCTAGCTTTCTGGTTTCTTCTTATAAAGGCACTAATCCCACTCATTAGGGCTCCACTTCCTGACCTACTTATTCCCTAAAGGTTCCACCCTCCAGATACCACCACACCAGGGACTAGATTTTAACATATGAATTTAGAGAGACACAACATTCAGTCTGAAACAAATGGTGTTATACAAAAGTAAGAGAGACAATTCAGCAAATTCAAAAATGCTGATGTCATTCAAAAAATTCTACAATGAAAATCTATTTTTATTCTCTTTATACACCAAAGTAGAGGGTTAAAAAAGTTCTTTCTAGATGTTGATTTTCCCTTCACCTTCAGAACTTTTGGACTTTTTTCTCTCCAGACTCCTAAATGATTTGCTGAACCTTCATTGTCTGTCTGACCAAGAGTCACCAAGAGATAGTTACTCTGGGGGAAAATAAATTAAAAACCAGCAGTGGCTGCTGTCTTCACATGGAAAGTTATGCAAATGTTCATCTGTTCTTTTGAAGCCTTGAGCATCCTGTGGGACCAACAGTCTTTTTGCCAGAATTCATAATCCTACCGTTTAAAGTGAAGGTGCATTTACCTATCAGAAGGAAGCTAGCCAACAGGTTTTACAGTATCAGAATGATCAGAAACTGCTTCCAAATACTAAGTCTCATGGTGGAAATATGGTTCTTTGGGGCTATTCGAAGTATCAGACTCTCTCCCCTGAACTTTCCGCTCACTGGCCCATAAGCTGATTGGAGCAATCTCAGCCAGAGGAGCCTCAGAGACGAAGAAAAAAATTTAGTAAAATCTTTCATGGTGCTTTTCCCTAAATAAAACTTTGACTAAATGAAATGCTCCCAAGGAAGTTGTTAATTGGATTGTTTGGTGAATAAATCAATAGGTAAGAATCCATTTTTCCCTCAGCTCGTGGCTAAAATACATCTTCTCAAAGAAAGAGGCCCAATTTCCTTGCTACGTACAGCATTTGATTCAGTGCCAAACATTTTTGGGAAAACCTGTGTCTTAGCATATTCATAATCTAAAGAATAAAAGCAATAACAGAGGGTGAGGAAAGTCTCAAAGGCTATTCTTGGGGAAAGCCTAGCTCCATGTATTTTAGCCTCCCTAGAAGGGCAAAGAGGATGGAGATTATGTTAGGAACCTTATTTCTGTTACAGCCTTCTATCTTTATGACCATCCATACAGGCAGGTTACTCAGGCACTCCACAGTTTTAAAAAAATCCCTATTATAAGCAATACCTAATGATAAACAATGAATAAAATAGTCTCTGTCTTCTGTCCTTATAGTATGGCAAGACAGACATGCTAAGAACTACAGGTGCGATGAGCTTAAAAAGAAGTGTGGGGTGTTATAAGAGCATATATAATGAACAGGAAATACCTGAGCAAAGATGGAGAAGGTGTGAGGGGCAGAACAGTTATTATCTTTTTTGACAGATAGTGCAAGTGAAGCCCCAACAGATTAATTATCCCACAAGTGAGTGAAGAGACAGGATCCAGATCCAGATTCCTGTCCTTCAAAGTACAGGTACTCAGAGATTCCCATCTGAGACTCTGAGTATATCTTGTCTGCTCAGTCCTGCCTGGGAGCAATTGTCCTCAGGTTTTTCTCCTAAGTTGGGGAAGACAGAGGAGGGAATAAATTTAGTCAACTTCATTTTAACAAAGAAAGCAGATAACATCTCTTTAAAATGTTTTCTAGAAGTGATTCTATAAAAGAATCATGTATTACTAGCTGAGACTTGTGCCATAATAACTCTGAAAGTACTAAAGCTTGGGACTCTGGGCAAATTTGGAAAGATCAGCTGTCAGAGCCCGCAGCACCCACTTTTAGATTTTGTGTTCATGGGCCCTACACCCTAACCTACTAGGCTCTGAATCACACTGCATCCCAGATGCCTACAGTACAGGCAAATGCTACATAAGCCTCTTGCCAATCTCACAACTCAGGAATCTTTCTTCAAGGACCAGAGAGCCATCTTTTTGAAATGTAGTTACCAAGGAAGATAAAATGCCCAATCTCCCAGTTTGGGGGAAGAGCTGAGCCTAACTTCAGCAATCACCTGACTCCAAATTCCAAAACCTATTTCCAGTCATACATGTAGGAGGTAACTAGCAAGTTTATCTTGAAGACATAAGTGTAATGGCTTGCACCTACTTTGCTATATAACAGAGTGATTTCTTTCTGTCTTTGCAGTATCTTTAGGGGATGGCCTGTAATGTGCATCACATTCTGCTCTAATGCTTACTCAATAGTAAGGCTGTTGGCTTTGTCTTGTAACCTATGTGGAGAGGTGTTGTAATTCGGGAGATTTTGCTTTTAATGATTGTCCTCCAACCACCCCTGCTTTGCCATTTTCCCACTGATAGGAAGAGGTGAATTTTATGATGACTGCCTACAGTCCAGACAGAGTGTTGCACTTTCACCAGGCTTGCAAAATCAAAGTGTGAAGTGTTCCCATATAATCACATGAGAGGCAATTTTCAGCAGCATGTTTAGCCACGCTCACAGAACACAGGGTCAAGAACAGCTTGAGTCAATCTCCTTGTCAATCTCCCTCAGTGACAATTTAATAAAAAAACAGAATTTAAATTAGAAAGATGAAAGTATCCCCCTTGCAGGGCAAGAGCATTTGTAGAAGGAAGAAAATGAAGCCAGGCTTCCAAATCTATCAAGAAGAATGGGAAGAAAAGCTTTGGAAAGACCAGTAACAACACTCCCAGGCTTGTGGCTTGTGTTATTTTCCCTGTAGTGCTTAACAGTTGACTGCAGTGAAACAAGCCCTGTGCACTTTGACAGCAACAGCAGGATGGAGACCAGTGGAGGCTCTGCTTACAGACTTTGATAGGGAGACACCCAAAGGATGGGGGTCAGATGTAAGAGGAAGAGAAAAAAACCCAATACCTAAGACCTCCAAAAGAGGAAGGGAAAGCCAGAGAGAAGGCAAATATCTTTAGGACCCAGGGACAGTGCCCATTTCACAGGATGCTCTGCTGGGACACTTGGAAGACCCCTCAGATCCCCTCACCTGCAGGCTGAAATGCCTGATTTTCTACCATCTGGACCTTGTGGATTTCATTTATGATCTGATCCTTGCTCAGTGGACGAGCACTATTTATTGAGCACTTGGTGTGTGCCTAGTAACTGAGGTAGCATTGAAACACTCAGGCACACCCTTTGTTTTGGAAGTAAGATAGGTAGATGTATCTGTCTGTCTGCCTATCTGGACTCCTAGATCTTTGTATTCAGGTATTCATTCAAATGTTCCCTCTACCTAGAGGCTTTTCCTAACCACCTATCTGAAGTAGCCATTTCATCTCTTACAACATCCTAAAGGCACTCTCTGCATGGCTCTTATTCCTACTTGCAGGGAAACTTGTCTCTCTCCTTCTCTGCTGTTTCCCAAGGGTGAAGAGCAGTACCCAGTACAGGCACTTGGTAGCTTTGTTTACTTAAGTAATTCACTAGTTGATGGCAAATTCCCAATGGACCTTTGGGTCTGTTCAGTCTTTTTGAGTTAGAGGGAAGTGGAGAGAAAGCAAAAGGGCACTACTGTTTGTAGCCAATAAAAAAAAAAAAAAAAAGTTGGAGAAAGAATTTTTCTAAAAAATAGTTTTCTAATCTCCCAGTTTTTCCTAGGGCTACAAATGGCACCAATGGAAGTGGGTTTTAGTCAGGAGTCCTATAAATGCAGGGCTGCTGCACTCTGATATCCCCCAGCTGGAAGGCAACTGCTCCTGTAACTTCCCTGGTTGTTCTGTCACTTGTCATCACTTGTCATATGTCTCTTGTCATCACTTTTCACTCAAGTCATCTTCCTGCATGTTTGCGTTGCTCCAAGGACCACTCCTGGGTCTGAGTTCACTCCTTCTCCTCTTCTTTCTCTCCAGCCTCCCTCCCTATAGCCTGGGCAGTGGTCAAGGTCAGTCTTACAAATGTGCATGAATGAACTGCCACAAGGCAAACCCTAAATCTTTAATGTCATCTTGTTATTCAATTTTCTCATAAAAGTGTGATGGAAAAAAAAAAAAAAAAAAAAAAGATGACATTCTATTTAATTGAAGCCACCAACAGATGGTTCTGGTTAATTGAGGTTTTTTTGGTAGGCTCTCTTTACAAAATACCCTGTCACACAGGCTTCTTAGCATCTCCTTCCATGCCCTAGAGCCAAGTGCTTGGAGAACATATGCTCTTTTTGAGAACTCTAGTCTGTCTGCTCTGGGAATTCTTCCAAATTCCCACTAGTAGTGCTCATTATGACTCTATTTCCTCATACAAATACCATAAGGGTAACACCACCACATATTTTTACAGCCTTTTACAATTCACAAAGCACCTTGACATCCATGGTCTCTTCTTTATCACAGGCTGTTTGCTCCTTAGATAAGAGAGGCTCCATTTGAATCAGGATTCCAGAGGAAAAGCAAGGATGTACAATGCCTTCTAGAAGGAGAATAAGGAGTGGACGTATCTTAATGCAGCTTCTCATGAGATAGCAAGAGGAACACATCTTTGCCCCTAGCATCAGCAAGCTTGAGTGCCAGTGCCTTCAAGTATCATTGTTATCATGTGGTGTCATTATTAATAATGGCTAGTTGTTTACCCTGTACCTGCTAGGTAACATGTCCTAATAAAGGTTACAGAATCTCATGTTACTGGTATGGATTTGCTGAGAGGAGTGTTGGGGAATAACGGCTTTCTTGAAACCAAAGCCTACCATATGTACAACAGAAGAATGAAGCTTCTCTGTTAAGTGATAGTGATGGCTCTGCCCTCCTGAATCCTCTTTCCTCCCTTCACTGATGACTCCTGAAGCCATGAAGACAACTCTGGGGACTCCCCAGGGCTATTCAGAGCACACCTGGAAGATGGTTTTGAGAGGACCTTGACTGGGAGAAGCACAAGAGAGGAGAGAGGAAGTGAGAGGACAGGAAGGTCACAGAAAAGCCATTTTCCTGTGACACTCCAGCTCCTCAGAGTGTGAGGGGCTTACGTAACAATAAGGGCACATCCTCATGGCAGACACAAGCCTGTGTTCCCCCAGCACCCTTCCCCACCTGGACACCTGCTGCTGGGAGCAGCTGTCACCCTGGACACTTCCCACATCTCTCCACTTAAGTGCCACCATGGAAGCAGAAAGGAAGTCCTGATTCTGCCTGCTGTCCATCCCCTGACATTATCGAGTCCTTGTAAAATGCATCCATGCCAGTTCAGAGCTCTGCCTGCAGACTTCAGAGAACCTTGAGAAGTCTGACCTCCTTGTGTTTCTCTCCCTTGTGCTGGGCCTGACAGATACTGATCTAGCAGAAACATGGATGGCTCGGGGAACTCACCTTGCCCCAACTTCTGCAGCAACCTCTCCACAGACTTCGGCAAAGGCTCAGGAGCTTGTCATCTATCATACTCACCTTTCATTTTCCAGACAGCCTCCCTGGGTGTTTTCCTACCTTGTCAGTGCTAATAGAGCCTCTCCATGTGAGAGGGCCCATCCAGTTTCTGCCCTCCCTACAACACAACCCTCCAGAATCACAGTACTGAAAACGCATAAATCAAATCCTTGCCTTTCAACATCACATTATCCTAAAAAGCATATTTGGAATTGGGTATACATAAAAATATAACCTCTGCATTTTTCTTAGCTCTAAAATTGAGTGAGCCATAGTTGCTACCTCAGAGAATTGTGATTGCTGAGATGTTATGTCAAGTGCTCCATGCAGTACCTGGCATAGGAAGTACTCAGTAGATAATAATGAGTAAATAGCTTGACATGTAACTCAATACAGAGATAAGTAAATGAACAGATAAATGAACAGTAGAGCATAGGACTCTGGGTTAGTTACCATTCTCTTTCCTTTCCTGTGGAGATGATAATTATTACTTACATTTATACTTTAAGCAACTTTTTGCGATTGCTTAGAAACACAGATCTCATGCGAAGTCAAGGCGTATGCTTTAAGATCTAACCCAAAACACGGTAGAGGTAAGTCATTAAGAACATGGGCAGTGGGGCCAGACCACACTGGACCAAATCCCGATGTTGGCCTTAATAACTGTGTTACCTTGTGTAAGTCACTTAACCTTGCTGTGCCTTAGTTTCCTTGTCTGTAAAACAGAGACAGTGATAGTACCTGACTCATGGAGATGGTATGAAGAGTAAAGGGGATAATCCATAAAAGGGCTGACTGCAATGCCTGGCATAAAGCAAGGTGCTCCCTAAATCCATTGGTGACATAGAAATCTGCTGCTGCTGTTCCTATTACCACAATGACTCTAAACAGATTTCTACTTGCCTCGCTTCAGGATTGCTATCCCTGAACATTCCTTCTCCTCATCTCACCCCTGGATTGGACCCATTTGAGATTAACCCATTAACCCTTGAGATTACCCTCCCCTTTTGGGCAGCACACAGGCACTGCCAGACACCCCACTTGCCCCCATTCAGCCTTCCTTCTCCTCCCTACAACTTGAGCCACTGAAGTCCAGGATGCTTTGAAGGCAAGCTACCCTTAGTTATTGTGGTTATGACAAGGCTATTCTGCGCACCCCGCATATCCCTTGCATGGTGTACGTGCACAGGACTGCTAATCATAGAGCCAGCATAAAAACAGAAGAATAAAAATAAAAAGGATTTGAGTTGTGGGTTGTGAAATTGTGACACCCTGTACAGCCCAGGCTGAGGGAAGGTTAGCTCTAAAACAACCATCCATGACACCGTGGTACCTTCAAAGCAAGATTGGTCTCATTCCCTGGAGGTCTGCTGAGATGCAGGACCTGGGGCTCACCCTGGGGCTTCCATCAGAGCAGCCAGGATCATAGTGAGGAAGTTCATAAGAGCCAGACAATGCCATTGAGGTACAGGTGAACCCAGAGTTAGTGCCTGCTATTGGCCTGGAGAATTTTAAACATACAAAGATAGCTGGAGCAGGTGGTAGATGGAAGGAAGTAAATAAAGACAGCTATGGGGCAGCTTGGACTCCCATCTTTTGGTATCACCAGGATGCCTGAGTTTTCCCAGAGCCCTTGTTGGTGCTAGAGAAGGAAACAGGCTTGGATCACTATCCAAGAAAAAGGGCTTTTAAATAAGGAAACACAGCACCTGGGCAGCTCAGTCAGTTAAGTGTCTGACTCTTGATTTCAGCGCAGGTCATAATCTCATAGTTCATGAGATGGAACCTCACATCAGGGTCTGCACTGACAGTGAGGATCCTGCTTGGGATTCTCTCTCTCCTCTCCCTTTACCCCTCTCATGTTCGCTTGCTCACTCACTCACTCACTCACTAGCGGGAAGGGAAGGGAAAGAGGGAACTCTATTACAAAGGACTATGGTTTTACTGCAGGAAGTCAAAAGCTGGGGAGGGTCTTAAAATATCAGCCAAGGAAGCCATCAAAAGGAATGGTGGATTGTGATGACCCTTTAAGAGCTTCCTAGGAGCCCATATTCCTTCTCCAAGAGGAAGCCAGCAATGAAGGTTTGCCACTCAGCAGCAACAGCCAGATTATAATAGCACCAGTTAAGTGACACCTTCTCCTTTTATCTACTGAGTCTCAATCCCTCCCTTACCCAGATTAACAAAGAGCCAGAAAAAGAGAGGAAGGGGGGGGGGGGTAAAAAAAATAAAAGTTCTTTTCCCCACTACATGACTCTGAGCAGGAGTCTGCTGCTGACTGTCTCCAAGAGGAAAACCTTGATTTATAGCAATAAGCAACTTCCATGGGGCAGATCCTCCCACCATGGCTGCTGTTCATCCACCAACACATCACTGAATTCAGAGTTGGAGGAGATGGTAATAATTGGCTTTTCCTAAGATCTCCAGCATTGCTGAGCAGAGCATGAGCTGGGGTGAGAAAGGTTGGGGTTAGGAATAGAGGAGAGTTTGAATGAGATAGGAGATTGAAGTTTTTATTTATACTGGACAGGATTTCTTTATAATTGGAAAATGAGGCTTGATAACCAAAGTGGATCTATTCTTATAGTTGAATGTGATCAAGACACTTCTCTCCAGATGGTATCAAGATGTTTGAGATCAGTCAGACTGTTTTTAAGACAGCGATGACTAAGAAGTAAAGGCACTCTTGGTATCTCACAAAGTTCACACTGTTTAATATTCAGGTTATATTTCAGTCCCAAAGGCTCCCTTAGGGGTTTATCATCCATTACATTCCAAAGGAAGAATCAGCCTTTGTGGATACTGTTACCTTTCCCTCGCTCCAATCATCCTCCTTCAGGGAAATGGGGCTGAACTGTTATAATGAGAGCTCATCATGTTTATTTGGAAGAAAATTTTTAAAAACTGAAAGGTATGAATGCATCCAGTTTCCAGTTACAAAATATAACTCCAGGCTAGTGGGAGCAAGACTAGTGTAGAGAAGTCCGTGCCCTGGTCTGGTTGCCTCCCCCAGCCCCTGGATTGTCCCTGTGCTGTGCATGTCCATTGTACTGCAGACCCTCTGGGGCAGCTGAGCAAGACCCTCAGGAGCCCACCTACAGTGGAAATGTCCCTTGAAGGACATTAGGCCATAAGAACGAAGGATTACTTTGGAAAGAGACATCATTGGGGGCTAAATGACTCTTGACAAGAAGTTCATTAGACCTTGACCCATCATATAGACAGTTATACTCCAGACATCCCCCACAGGCACAAGTATCAGCCTGGGCTAAGCTACCATTATGTCCTGCCGGGAGAAGGAGTCTCCCAACTGTACTCCCTAATCCTGTCTTTGCTTAGTATAGTCTATTACCTCCACAGCAGTAGAGTTATCCTATTAAAACCTAAGCCAAATCCTCTCTGCTGAAAAACAAAATGAAATGAAGTCTCCCCCATTTCATTCAGTAAAAGCCAAAGTCCTTCTAATGGCCTAGGCCTACATGATCTGCCCAGATAATTCTCTGGCCTCAACTCCTACCACCCTTTGCATTAGTCACTCTTCACCAGCCACCCTGATCTCCTTGTTATTTCTCATACCACCAACCAGATCCTATCTCAGGGCCTTTGTACTCTGTTCCTTTACCTGGCAAAACCTTCCCACCAGAGGCCATGTCATATACTCTTCCATTTACTTATGGTGTCTTCTCAAAAGAAGTATATCTAGCAATGGCTTTCTGACTGCCTTATATAAAAAATCTCTTGCCCTGCCCCAGAACTTACTGTCCCCTTCGTTCCACTTAATATTTTTTACATAGTTATCACAATCTGTATATACTACCTTGTTTACTGATTATTGACTTTATATTTACACTGGAATGTAAACCCTCTAAGAAAAGAGACTTTACCTGATTTGTTTTTTAAGATTTTATTTTTTAAGTAATATCTATACCCAATGTGGGGCTCAGATTCACAACCCCAAGATCAAGAGTCAAATGTTCAACTGACTGAGACAGCCAGGTTCCCCCACCTGATTTGATCCTTAGCACCTTTATGAGCACTGAGCATGTAACAGCAACATGATAGATATCTACTGAAGGGATAGGTGTTTCTCCTAAGTAATACACGACCAATGAACAAAATCTGGGGACGAATTCCCCTAAGTCTGTGGAGCAAGAGGCATTCCATGAATCACCCCTTTCTCTCCTCATCATGAGGACCAAAGTGGAAAGATTTACCCAGTCTGGAACCGTTTTTGTTTTGTTTTGTTTTGTTTTGTTTTGTTTT